TACTACTACTACTTGTTGGTATACAGTAGCACATCTTAAGGTGTGTGTTGTTTGTACACTACTACTACTACTTGTTAGTATACAGTAGCACATCTTAAGGTGTGTGTTGTTTGTACACTACTACTACTACTTGTTAGTATACAGTAGCACATCTTAAGGTGTGTGTTGTTTGTACACTACTACTACATACGAGTATACAGTGTTGTTTGTACACTACTACTACTACTACTACTTGTTAGTATACAGTAGCACATCTTAAGGTGTGTGTTGTTTGTACACTACTACATATGAGTATACTTGAAAATTTGTCCTGATAAAATTACAAAACAGACTATATATATACACGATTTATGAAATCCTTCGTGTTCTTCTAAATGCCCAGATGCCAGAAGAAGAAGCATTTGCTGTTTTGACAAGGCTAATGGAAGATTACAGACTGCGAGAAATGTATAAACCCAGCATGGCTGAGTTAGGCTTATGTATGTATCAACTGGAATCTATTGTTCAGGTAGGTGTTTAACTGGTTTGTTGTGTGTGTGTGAAATAATCAATTGTTCAGGTAGGTGTTTATCTAGTTTGTTGTGTGTGAAATAATCTATTGTTCAGGTAGGTGTTTATCTAGTTTGTTGTGTGTGAAATAATTTATTGTTCAGGTAGGTGTTTATCTGGTTTGTTGTGTGTGTGAAATAATCTATTGTTCAGGTAGGTTTTTATCTAGTTTGTTGTATGTGTGAAATAATTATTGTTCAGGTAGGTGTTTATCTAGTTTGTTTTGTGTGAAATAATCTATTGTTCAGGTAGGTGTTTATCTAGTTTGTTGTGTGTGAAATAACCTATTGTTCAGGTAGGTGTTTATCTAGTTTGTTGTGTGTGAAATAATCTATTGTTCAGGTAGGTGTTTATCTAGTTTGTTGTGTGTGAAATAATCTATTGTTCAGGTAGGTGTTTATCTAGTTTGTTGTGTGTGAAATAATCTATTGTTCAGGTAGGTGTTTATCTGGTTTGTTG